TGCCATACTTTCTATAAGGGGACCGAGAGTAACTTTATCTAAGTATTACTTGCTCATATCATTTATATTTAGGTTTTAGCAATCATTTACCATGACATAATAACACCATATTAGGAGAATAACAGACTTACACTGTAGGGATTCTCAACTTTACGTAAGTTTCTGTTAGTGACCCCGCCTCGATGAATCGCATGAATCTCGAATTCTACTTCAAGATATCGAGGCTTTTTAAAGATATTATATTTGAGTTGGTATAGAAGTTATGTAGAACACATTTATTGATTAATTATTTTCTAATTTTGTGTACCTCATTGAATAACTATATATTACATTTTTATTTACACTTTTAGGTCACCTTTTAAGTTTCGGGCAATGTAATTTTAGCGTTTTTCATTGATTAATGGTCATATGCAGGAAGTGATTGTAGTGGCATGTGTTCAAAAATATATTAATGCATATAATATACATGTTTATTTCCATAGATTTGATTCATATGGTCATATTATTATGGTCTCCAACTTTTTTGTGCATGGCATTTGGCAGTTGGTGTTTGGCAGTCAGCATTTGTAACAAATGGCAGGTTAATGCTTTGATATTGAGTACTAATATGTGTTATTGTTTTTCAAATGTTGCCCTTTGTGATTTTATACCTGTAGTGGCTCATGTATTTTATTTACTAGGGTACAGTAAATCAGACAGCTTTATTTTTATCGTCTCTGAACAAATATAAGCATAATCGTAAAATATGTTTTGATGCGATGTCTGAACGTTGTGCTATATTTGGTCATAGTGACTGGATATATGTCGCCCCACACTGGTAAGCTGCTCATTGAGTGTATTTCATTTAAATATATGTATAGCCGCGTGTATTTCATCTGGAATAGAATATGTATGGATTCAATATACAGGGTGATCAAAAGTTTTTGATTCTGCCTTTAAAGCAAGCTGAATAAATGAGCAGGGTTAACCTGGAAGGAAGGACCAAGTGCAAGGGTAGAAAATATTTTTGTTATTTAGATGGATTGACTTTGAAAGTTTGGACCATGATATGATAAACAGCCATATATGGATTATGTCAAATCATCTAAGATATAGTTGCTAAGTTGTTCAGTCAGTGTAACTGTTGCTAAGTTACTGTTGTCAAGCTACCATCTTTGTAAGCTGATTTGCATCTCTGGTGAGAACTGGAAACTTTATGAAGTAGTTACATGTATACTCTTCTTGAGCATAGCTGCTCACACAAAACATTGTAAGTAAACAATTGATATATTTGAAACTGATATTTGATACTATGTAGAAATTAATAACCCATACAGTCTTTCTTAGCTAAAAAATATAACAACAGTTTATGTATTGAAATTCTTGAAAACAAATATGTAATACTCTCTTTTTAAGGTTTGGTTGAAATGCGAATTGTAAACAGTTTTAATGTTCAGTAGCAGCTGATAAACTACTTTTAGAATTCTCAATAGCGTCTAAATGTTGGTAAATCTCATTGGGCAAAATGTAAAGGGATTAGTGATGTCACAATGACAGATTACTAACATGTCCCCCCAAATGAAAAGACGAGTAGGAATAGAATGTAACTAGGGCTGATTAATGGCGGGTTATTTGGGATCTCTGTGAGATTAATTAATTTGCATAAAGGGGTTATCAAGCTGAGGACTTTTGTCAATTTTTCTGATTCCCGCGTCTTAATCACCTACCAACTTTCTCATTAGGAAGATATGCCAATTATTGGCCTAGGCCTTATAATGTCTTCTAGCAAATTATATTCAACTTTCAGTCATTTTTCAAACAAAATGCTTTTCTCCTGACTTACATTGTACCAGAGCAATTTCGGGAGAAAAATTGTCAAGCCTCATTTTGAAGTTTAGCAGACGGATGAAATCAGATTGGTGCCTATTATAAAACCTTACAGAATCAGTCCTTGGGAAATAATTGATTCAGAAGTGTTTATTGTAATATATACTGTATAAAGTGTGATCAAAGATCATAATTCAATAACTTCTTTTTGATGCCGCGAGGGCAAATAACTCGCTGTGAACGACTGTCAATTACAGGAAACTTTGACATGCTGTACAACAATAACCGCTTATTATGGGATATGTCAATAACTAATAATGTCATCTCCATCCAATTTATGGCGTATTAATACATCTTTGCCATATTGAGTTGCACCCTTTTGTAATTAAACACAACAGATTTCATTTTTACTTGGGCAATTATTCTATTTTGTAGATCACACCGGATTAATTTGCTGGTTGAATGTCTTAAAAGCTGAAAGAGTATGGAAAAGAAGTGCTTTTATTTAAATAAGCTATTGTGGATTTGATGTTTTGATTTCGTATTAAGTTTTTATTTTGTCTCTGTTTTATTTGACTGAATCAGAATTTGATCTGTATGAATCATGAAATTGTATTTTACTTTAACTGTGGTATCATTTGAATGACTTTCTCATTCCCACAAACCCCATAATACTATCCAAAATAAAAATAAAACAAAAAGCCCATCAACCCAGAAAATAAAAAAAACTAATTCTATTAATGTTTGTACAGAAGTCGTGGTTGATTGGTAACTCCAACAAGATCTCCGTATAAGAAGATTGCTTAGAAGGCTTTAGACAATAAAAAATGCAAATTCTGTATAATAGAATTATTAACTCAATATTTGACTTGTGCCATTTGGCGTGTAATTAGAAGCCCATATATGTCAGATCTAACACTCCTGGATAAAGGATTAATCCGAGATTCACTTGCCATATTAGGGAAATATCCATTTCTTAGTATTTTGTAAGGCTGCGGTGTTTTAAGAGGTATTACCGCAGAAATCTAGCATCAGATTAATCCTAACAATTTGAAATACTAACATCATATTTAGAAGTTACTTTTGAATCAGAACTGAATGTTCTTTAGAAAGTACTGTTATTAAAATATTTATTTGGGTTTGATTGAACAGATTACAGAGATCAAATGAGAATGGATTTTAATAGTTTAGTGGTAATCATTTTCTTTTGAGTCATTGAGGCAATTTTTGTAATTTCATTAACATGATCCTTTAATCCCAAAAATTGATTGTTCCCTAATTATGATTAATTTAAATGGATTCCTAGGAAGAAAATGACCGATCCCAGGTTAAGTCTTGTCCCTAATTGGTTGAATCCTCAACCAATTCCCTCAGCCAGATAACCACGGAGAGCTATGCGGGAAAATTGTTGGAAATATAATAAAACTGGAATTGAATCTCAGAGGCATTAGGATGATATTGTGTATGGTGATATGTAAGACTCGGTGATTTAGGAATTATAGTTAGTAAAGATCATGTAATAAGAATTAAACAGAATAGGGTTTGACCCAGTGTGCTAACATCTTGTTCTCTATACTGTTTCTCACTGACTTGATAAATTACTATTCAAATCGTGAATTGCGTTTAACACAGTCAGGCACAGTGGTTTGCTATAGCACGAACTCATCTTCAGAAGTATTGGCAATAGACCTCTAGACCTCTGACAACATGGAGATGACAGCTCACTCACATCGGGAAAATTTTAGCTCATATTCTTTTGGATTTTGGAATGGCGGTGTAGATGCAACTGGAGGGTAGGTGCATTTTAGGTGTGGTTTAGGCATATTTTGGTGCTTTAGATGGTCTTTAGGGAATCTTTCAGTTTATATTGTATTTTATCCTCACATTTTATGCCAATTTTGATAAATTGCAAAGATTGTATCATATTATAGATTGTTCTAGATATAGTGTTTCTCAGTTCATATACCATACTTATGATAACTTAAATAAAAGTAAATGATGACTAAAATACAAGTACATTATGACTTAAATACAAGTAAGATATGTCTTAATACAAGTAAGTGGTGGCTTTTATTTGAGTAAATGACCACTCTTATACAAGTAAATGATTACTTCAACACAAGTAACATATGACTTCAACACAAGTAAGATATGACTTTAATACAAGTAAGTGGTGGTTTTAATTTGAGTAAATGATCACTTTAATACAAGTAAACATTTTAAAACAATTATTAGAAAATTAATCTGAACCTGAATGATATTTCGTGATTTTTTGATATTTAGTGAATACAATTTTAACGAATGGTATATTTAGCTTTTAACAGATACATATTCAAAACTAACATGTATATTTTAGTAATAGCTAATTTAAGTAGATTGGGAAATAAGTAAAATATTAAATGAAATCTTCAGTTTGAAAGTTTTTCCTCATTTCTAAAAAATAAGAAGGCTGAAATCTTATTCAATATTCAAAACCGCAATGTGGCAAACCAGGTTATCACATAAAATAGTTTTTCATAACAAGTGGTAAAAAGTGTTATTACAAGTAGTACATGAATACATATATGAATTATATTATAATGTTGAGTTGAATGTCACACATAGTTATAGCTGACATTTCAAAAGTTCCAGGTCAAATTTGATCAGCCGGAGAATTTTTTCTAAATAAATGTTTTACTTTCATTGCTAATGTCAGTTTGTCATGGTGATATTTTTTGATAGTATACTATTTCGCTGGAAGGAGAATTCCACTATGTCATATGCCAAATATGAAATTTAGATTCATTTTATCTTTAAATACAAATAGCATAGAATCATCGGCTCCAGGCTCACATTGTACATATAATATTACAATATAGTTATTCAAAATAAAGGGGATGTTTTTGATAGAATTTAACTGGAGCAAATTCCTTTTTCGAATATAACCTAATTTTTAAGTGGAATTCATAAAGTTTAACACTGTTTAAGACAATCATTTGATTTTAGGAAACAAGCCAAATGTAATGAACATATGAATTGAAAACCATCATCACTTGAATTTCTTTAAAAATCAAAATAACAATTCAATTCAATAATATTCATTATGATTCAAGATGATTTATTTCATTTTGAATGAATAAATTGAAAACATTTATGCTGGATGACATAAATACTTGACAAGAAAAAAGTTAAATATTTTGATATTTATTTTTAAGCATTCTGGAGCTGAGGAAAGAAAAATCTCGAGATGCGGCCAGATCGCGACGTGGAAAAGAAAACTATGAATTCTACGAGCTTGCAAAGATGTTGCCTCTTCCTAATGCTATTACCTCACAGTTGGATAAAGCCTCTATAATACGTCTCACAGTGAGTTGTCTAAAACTCCGAGACTTCTCCAGTCATGGGGACCCACCGTGGAACCGTGATGGACCTCCCCCTAATAAATCTGTCAAAGGTAGGAATATTTTCATTAAAAAACACCAAGAACATAGAAACTATTACGGCAACTGTAGTTATTGTAATTCTGAAAAGTCAAAATGGCCAAAAACTGATTGGATCTTTGGTAACATTTCAACCATGGTGACGTCATCATTTTGTCACTGGTATGTTTAATGATGCGTAACCCTTGGAGATTTCTTCTGTTGACATATGGTAACTTTATGACCTCACCGAACAGCAATAAAAGAAATATTAGCACATTTTGATTCATACATTTGGTGAGTCAGTTTGATCAACAGAAAATGCCCTTGATAACAGTTAACAGGTTTACTTGTTTCTTGTAAGTTAACCTTATACCTCAGTAAGGTGGTTTTGGCAAAGGGCTCACTCGCTAGAAACACGTTCATTAAAACCGTCTACAATTTATTTTGTCCAGGGCGTAAATCCTAAATTAAGCCTTGCAGTGATCTCCCCAGGATATTTTCTCAGGGGGTAGCAAAATTCTCATTTTCACAATTCAGACCAGAATTGGTCAAAATATGTCAATTTTTCATGATTTTTTTCTCATTTTCAAGTGGGTGCAAATGGATTTTCAGGTGGGTGCAAGCCTAATTTCAAAATCTCAGGTGGGTGCTATGCCCACTTGGTTCAATGCTGGGGAGATCACTGCATTATGATGTCTATGAAAGAAAACAAACTAATCCCTAAACCTGTTCTTACATGATCACTTATCTGTCTTGAAGTCCTGTGTTTTGTACATATCCTATCTTGATCATAATGGCTTAATTCGAGTCGACAAGAAAGTCATCAGTGGGGCTAATATGTTAGGAGCCGTCACGTGGAAAGTTCAGGAAATTGGAGCATCTTCCACCTCATGCTCAGTTTACTTCATTAGAATTGTCTCTGAGAATAGCAAAGGGGATTATCTTACAATGTACATGAAGGAAATGCACACAAACACCATTATAAAAGGATTGTCTTGCAATATCAAATTAATTCTCTTAGAATGTACATAAAGGGGTTATCTTAAAATATAGATAATGGATTATCTTAAAATTTACAGAAATGGATTGTACTGAGATGCACAAAAAAGAATTGTCTTCGAATGTGCATGAAGGGATTATCTTGATATTTACATGAAGGGATTGTCTTGGAATGTGAACAGATTAAATAGAAGGATTGTCCTGATATCTACATGAAGAGATTGTCTTGGGATGTGCATAAAGTGATTTTCTTGAAATGTACATGAAGGGATTGTCTTGGAATGTGGATAAAGTGATTGTCTTGAAATCTACATGGAGGGATTGTTTTTTTATTTACATAAAGGGATTTTCTTAAAACATAATGAATGAATTGTTTTAAAATGTAAATAAAGTAATTTTCTTGAAATGTACATGAAGGGATTGTCTTGGAATGTGCATAAAGGATTGTCTTTGAATGTGGATAAAGTGATTTTCTTGAAATGTACATGAAGGGATTGTCTTGGAATGTGGATAAAGTGATTGTCTTGAAATCTAAATGGAGGGATTGTTCTGGAAATTACATGAAGGGATTATCTTAAAATATGATAAATGAATTGTCTTAAAATGTAAATAAAGTAATTTTCTTGAAATGTACATGAAGGGATTGTCTTGGAATGTGGATAAAGTGATTGTCTTGAAATCTAAATGGAGGGATTGTTTTGGAATTTACATAAAGGGATTATCTTCAAACATGATGAATGACTTATCTTGAAATGTTCAGAAAGGGATTGTCTTAAAAATGCAAATAAAGTAATGTTCTTGAAATGAACTTGAAGGGATTGTCTTGGAATGTGGATAAAGTGATTTTCTTGAAATGTACATGAAGGGATTGTCTTGGAATGTGGATAAAGTGATTGTCTTGAAATCTACATGGAGGGATTGTTTTGGAAATTACATAAAGGGATTATCTTAACACATGAATGAATTGTCTTAAAATGTAAATAAAGTAATTTTCTTGAAATGTACATGAAGGGATTGTCTTGGAATATACATAAATTAATTATTTTGCAAATAATGCAAAAACTAATGAGTTGTTTGGCAGCAATCATTTGATTGTTTTGAGACTTAATTGAGGAGATTACATAATATACGGAACTCTCTCATTTTGAGATTTTCTTGTTTCCCTTTCTTATTTAAACATTACAATTATATAAAAGATAGAGGTTAAAGCTTTATGAAACTTACAAGCCATTCAAAAGTCAATATTTCTGCTCACTATGTCTCAGATATTTAAGTGTTTTGATAATTGTTTATTGTTGATTCACAAATACTATTAAATCTTTGTTGTATTGGTTACTAGTATGTTTGTATAGCTTGTCTAAGTTTATGTTTTTTCAAATGTTGCTCTTTATGCTTTCAGGTTGCTTTATCAGCTTTCTAGCTAAATGTAGATGAAGATGTAGGTTATTTAAAAGGCCTGATTAAATTGATTCTTAGACAGAGTTAAACCAGTCCCTGATATAGTAAATTATGTAGATTTCATTATTCTAACTCAGCGGTTTCATCTTATAAACCACATTTCTGATTGTCCATGGGTGAATCCATGTTCTCATTCTTAGCTTAGAATAGGCAGATACACAGCCAATATAATTCGGCACCATTTCGGCATTGAAAAAATTTGGCGCTGTTCCGGCACCGAATTTTGGCACAAAAACGATGTCTAAAATCAGATTGCATTTTGGGGGTGTATATAGATAGGGCCGGTAGTATAGGGGATGTCGCTCCCTGGGTCTGTGAAAAAATTTCAGGCTTGTTGATTAAAACTGAAATATTGACCTGAAAAATTGTCAGTTGTTGATTGTTAAACTAACTCATCATTGTCATATGGGTCAGGAATGACACCTTTGCCTCACCAAAAATAATATATATAAGAAAACAATAAAAATGTACCGACGTCATTGCATTTTTCTTTTATCCGTTAACCAAATACAGTATATAGGATGATTTCTTCATCCTCCATATATTTATGTGTTTAATTGATACAGAGACCTTAAATATTTGTTTTATGTTATTATTGTGTTATAAAAAATCATTGTATTATATAAAACATTAAATGAATTATTTTTGCATGTTGCATACACTGTTGCATATACCTAGCTATTTTATTCTATGCCATGGTCATCTGGCATTACTGTAGCCACTCTTGTATTATAAATCATCATTATTTAATAATAAATAATATTTAGGTGTAAAATGGCAAATCCATTGACCATCCTAAATATGATTCTTAGTCTATAAAGCTTAACAAACCAGACATAATGAAAGTTTTATCACATCGATAAACAACATTTCCCTGCCTCTGGGATGGAAATCATTACTTTCAATAAGTTACAGTGATATTTATTGTTTTTAGCAATTATTCCTTGTCAAAATATTAGCATTATAGCAGGTGTGTGTTTTGATTTAATATAAAAATAGTAAAAAAATTTTCATCATTGTTTATTTTAAATTATGTTATTCAATAGACTTGATGCGAGTAGAAATAATCTTGATTTAATCATTAAATATTCAAAATTCAAAGCGATGTCATATTTGAAATCTGCATGTAAAATTACATCTAGAAATATGGTTTCGAAAATTGTCTATAGAACAACTTTGAAAATTTAAATTTTTTGAAAATGTGACTTCTCCTTCGGGTTGACTCCCCATAGACCCCACGTTATAAAATCACAAAAAGTGAATTATATTTTCTTTTATTGGACAGATAACATTTTCTTTTACTGGACATATTTTAATTTGCATAACTATTAGATACATAAGGGTTATATGAAAATTGAACCACGCAAATAGATATAATTTAAGTTAAAGGGAACTTTCTTCTATACCCACCATGTTATCTGAACCGAACAAGCCACCTGGTGGTGAATCTGGTAACTACCTACTCGCATCTGCGTTATTGACTCATAGGTAACATCATAGGTAACATCCTTATATGGCCCTATTGCCTTCATGAGTGGGGTGTTACGGATGTATAAAGGGCATACAGCAAGACTTTAATTTTTGCAAGGGATTCGGACATCATATCTTGAAGATTATTCATTATTAAAAGGGATGAAAGTTATTTCTGACAAATTACCAGTATGTCTGATAAGAGGATGTCATCGCGTTCAAATCATGACAAGACATATCTTCACAAAAATGCCTCAATAAAAAAACAATCAAGTGGAATCAAAAATATAAAAATGGGATTTTGTTAAATAAATCCTGTAATGTTCTGTACTTTTGAGCATTAAATACAAAATACACAAGATATGCTTTCAAAAAATGTTGCTTTGTGTGAGGAGTTATCAAGAAGATACAAATTTCATGTTTCATGAGTTTTAAAATCCTTATAATAAAGCTCCCCCCATATTTCATGAGTTTTTTGAAATCTTGAACTAAATCCATTACAATATGATTTGTTTAATTTTGTTTCAGGGGGTCCCCCTAGGAGGCGCACTCAGTCAGCTGTTGCACAGGAGGTGTTTGAGGCCCACCAGGCAGCTCATATCTTGCAGGTAAGTTCACAGGATATATTTGACGAATATATTTTCTTTGCAGGTATATTATATATCATTGAGATGTCATTCCCAGAGGTAATTAAGTATTATAAGCATTTGTATAAACTAAAGATCATTCCTGTGTCGGACTCTCATCATTTGTTAAGTAAACAGGAATATAGATATAATTTCCGAGATTTTGTTTTTAATTCTCACATATTAATCAAAGATGGCAACTCTTTTATCCTTTATATACCGTCATTTTCCCAGAATATCATACTTTCATATTTCCCATCAAACATAGTAAATTATGTTTTTCTGAAGTTCAATTCTTTCAAGGTAACCATGGTGACACATGAAAAACAATAAAAAGATCATTTATAAAAGAAATTTCCTACAGTTTGATTTTTAATCTAGAAAATATAAAATTTCTGAATTTATTTGAGAGGGACCTAATGAGAGCTGGTTACTGGCTATCTTGATGTCCAGAGAAGCTAAGACGTGCTCATATATATTTTATAGTCATCCTTCTAGCTTCTAATCAAAAACCAATTTCAGGTGACCGGGCGATCAGCAATATAAAACCTACATAAAGGATTTATTTCATGTTTTATGTTCATACAACAAATTCCATACGTCGTAAAAAACTAATAAAAGGACCAATCAATTTGGGTGACTTGCTAATCTTTGCACTTTGTCTTTGAGTATCAACGGGTATGCATCTACCAATACTATGCAGAAATTGAATGCCTCATTCAAGACTATCCTTGTAGACCAACTGAATGTTCTGTTTCGTTACTAAACTGACACGATAAAATATCAAATATTATCTTATCCTTTATAACATAAATGTTTCAGAAATAATCTATCATCAACCTGTATAAAGAGCTTAAATTAACCTGATGTTTATCTTCAATACATATATTTATAACGCAATAACATAATTTTAGATCAAATTTATCGATGAAATTGAAAAAATTGACACATGGTAAAATTTCCTGGATAAAAAACACATCTGTATAGCTTGCTCTTGTCTTAGCATCATTGATGAAGAAACTCCAAGTTGTGGTGGAACGTCTTAATAAATGAGTCTATTTGAACAGCATGCATTACTAGAGATGTAATGAATGTGCATTGCTTAATTACTGTTCTAGGAGCTCCTTAAACTGTATTTGAATTTCAAATAGTGCGGCAGATAACCAATGAGGGTTGTAAAATTGCACTAAAACTCCTTTCTGAACGCATAGATTTTTGTTTAATCCATCTATTTTATGGCTTAATACACCCTAGACTGGTGTAAAGTTTGCCGATTCTATATAAATGCAACGAGAGATTTAAATAGTAAATTAGTGAGGCTAATCGAATTTTATAATTAGTGATTTGTATTTGCGGAATAAACTGTCATTTAGAAACTTAGAATAGTTCAGATTTTCCATTGATGTACCTCTATAGGGGTGATATGTTAGGCTGTAGAGGATATGAACAATTCATAATCCATCAAATACTAATCGAAGAATTATGATTTTCAAATCTTTCTTATCATTGGTGAACACTTATGGCTATCTCTCTATGTGATAATCTCTCAACATATTGTAGCTGTTCTACTCTATTAGCCACCATATTGATACATTGACTTATGGGTAATTTGCATGTGCCCCCAAATTGGTTGTTTTAAGATCAAGCTTGTATTGAACAAAGTCGTGTTATAATAACTTACGGTTCGGCACATAAATGTCAAACGAGTAGCATAAATTCATAGTTATGTGATCCACCGTGGCTCAATTGCTCACAATGTAATGTTAGTTGAACAGAATGTGTTATTTTATTGGTCCTTAGACACCATTGCTGCTTGTTCTTTACACATATCATCCCAGCGCAGGAAAGTGTTTCATGTCATTTTATAATGACGTTATAATTACTTCACTAGCTTGGCCATTTTGAGCGGGTATTTATGAGAATTTTACACGCTCCGGCTCATAAATATGACAGCGTTGCTGCAGAGAGGACCTCTAAAGAGTTTTGTATGGTAACTAACATTGAACAAAGATGAAGTCTTGATTAGGGAAGATTGTATGTGTATCCCTGGGCAGCTTTTTATTTTAGCATAGACATATGTTAGAATCTGATGAATCTGTATTTCATGGAGAATGTAAGTTTCAAATATTGCTCCATGGGAATGTACCTATTATTCTTTTGAAAAATGTGTTATTTCTAGGAACAATTTCTTATTACTTTAAAGAATGACTTATTCTTAAGATAAATGACTCATTTTCAAAGAAATATGTCGTTTTTCCTCAGAAAAAATTTAGTTCCCCAGAAGAATTCTCATTCCTCGGTTAAATTATCGATCCTTAGAAAAAATTTCTTCATAAAGATTTTCATTCTTCAGAAGTTAAATAATTCTCATACTTCAGAAAAAAATCTCGACTCTTAGAAGAGCATATTACTGGTTTAACCTTTTATTCATTGTAAGAATTGCCTATCTCTTAAAAATATTGAGTTCTTGAAATGTTGCCCCTTGTGCCATCTTGATGTAATTAGTGCAGTACTTGGAATCATTGGGAAGGTTAAGCCTTCTTGTACCTAATGGAGTCAATAAATTACTTTGTGTTGACCGGCCTATCAGGCGCAAGGATGAGGAATGAGACAGCGCAAGACCAAGCTGTCATGAATTAACAACAAATAACGAATTATTTTACATTTTCTACAGTTTTGTGAATTTTCTGTAATTGTTTCTGCTTTTGTTAACATTTTTATTAGGCTGGTATAATGACTTTTGTCTTCACTTTCATTTTGTTTATATATGTGCTAAATAAACTTAATAAATGTATTTATTACTCATCTTTATAATATTTTTATGATAAGATGTCATTAGTTCATCATTAATTACCTAATCACCTATATAAAACACAAACTTTAATTTCAGTTTTTAAATCATTTCAGTCATGGATACTACGATGGATCACTATGAAATAACCAAAAAAAGACTGCTAAACCTGAAAATAAGAACAACAATATTTCAGAAATTATATGGATTTAAAAAGAACATAAGTGAATGTTTGTTAAAACTTGTCATCATTGACCCACAGAATTAACCCTAATTTAAAGCGTAGACTCCAAAAGTGTATAAATTAATCCCGTCCAATTGATACCACTGATAGGATTTACAAGTGATAGAATAATAAACGAACTTTAGAAATTAGGTTAGCGATTCATTTAGCGCTGAGTTGAGGCTTTATTGTGCGGAAGCAAGGTAGTCCTCGAAGCTGCAGTAATTTCCAGTATGTTTGGCTCTCTGGTGATATACACACCCTGCTTTGGGCCCCCGGTGCTACCAGCTCTCTGATTTGCAATTTTAAACAGAATATTGATGTATCTTAATAACAATTTTTTAGAATTTCAATAAGTTTCATCAATACGTTTCATAAGCTCTACTGCTAATGTATAGATATCGAATTGTTTTTTATTCTGCTAGAGGTGGTGCTTAAAGCATAGAAAAGAGATTAAAATAAAATTGAATCAAAAGACATATTTGAGTCAAACTCATGGTCAAAACTATTTTTTAATATTTAACTTCTTAAGATGCTTTATTAAAAATGATGAGAAATACTTATAAGAATTAATTCTGAGTTATCATTAATTATATCTGAAAATCTGGAGAATGCTATAGCGTAGAATATCATTATCTTGATTCAATTATGAAGATAAGTTGATTTAAAACTCAATTTGTTTGAATGAGTCTAGAATATTGTGTAATAATATTCATAATGTGAAAAATGATAACAAGGATAAGATCAAGTATCTCCCTCAGGTCACATTATTATTAACCTTTTACATACAAAACAATATCTCATGTTAAGCCCCATAAGCACTTGCGTGTCAAAAATGAAAAACGATACCCACCTAAAGAACATCTTGGCTTTAGCCTCCAAGAAGTGATCAAGCTAATGACTTATTTGTATATTATAGTCACACACGCATTAACGACAACATTATGCATTAAAAATACAGCAAGGGATTGTGGGAATTAAAAAATCGTCAAATGTCGCAAAATAACTCATCATGAGCCTCCATCTGAAGCTTTAATTTAATCAAATGGCAAGTATATCTCGTTTGTACTTCTCAGTTGGGATTAAATGCTATTAATATGAGGTTTCTCTCATTAGCCATCGACCACCTTGACTTTGTGGACAGCAAAGATGGAGGATGTGATGTCCCCAGTAAGATTGATAGAGTTTATAACTGTCAGATCACTGGACAGTAATCAGATCAGAGATGAGAGAAAGATTGATGAGGTTTTCATATCTTTTTTATGTGTGGTGACATATTGCTTTGGTCTCCAACTTTCTTATGGACAGTGTTCGGTATTTGGCAGTTGGTGTTCAGGGGTTGGTGTCTGGCACTCGGCTTCTGTAACAAATGTCTTATTTAAAAGTAGTTTCAGACCCTTTAGTTCTTATATCATCATATACAGTAGTTTGAAAAACTGAGAGCCAAGCAATATTGTTTATATCGCAAGTAATTGCAAATCCAAAAACAATGCAATACAGTATATACCAGCCACCTTCCCTTTGCCTTCCTTCTCATTGTCAGAAAAGAATGGGGTTTTTGACAAAAAACAGCTGTAGATACAAGAACTCATACAATATGGAGCATACCATCTTCCATGAATTTTAGAGCAGACAAAATCTAGTCCCCAAGTCCATAAGAGTCAAAGGTTCAACATCTATCTTGATGATAGCAGATTTGATCCAGGCTAATATCTGCCATAATTTCAGATATCTTCCCTTATTCTGCTTAAATACAGCTTAAATATGGGTGTTGGACAGACTTTGGGACAAACTAGATAAATGTCTGCTTTACTTTATCTGGGCTAAAGTCTTCGATGTGTTTCCTCATAAGGACAAACTGCAAGTCAAGCTACAATACTAGAGCTGTCAAGGAACAAAAAAACAGAACAATTTGGTTCGAACAGAGCTACTGCGTGTATTAGATTAAAATAAGTTGATTGTCTAGGT